CTCTTAATTTTCGGTCGAAAGCTGTCAGTCCACTATGTTGATCATAGGCGGCGGAACGATTTGAGACAAGGGGGGGCACCATGGCTCAAGGAGCCAAACCTAGGGTACCCCCAAATCCTGTTTTCTCATCGGATTTAGGCCACTTATTTTTCGTCACAGCCCTGACACGATGATTTTTTTTTTGATTTTTTTTTACTAAACGAAAATGGCAGTTCACCCCCGTATGCAGGGGTGTAATTTTAATCTCTTTGTGGGGGCATATGCACCCACAATCCTGAATTATGTATGCCCACACAATGATGAAAATGCACCCACAAGTCTTTTACAAGGCTGCAAGCGTCCTTTCGAGAGTACGGTGCCCTTCGCATGCTCTAACGGCGTCCTCCTGACCGTCTCGCGTTCATGGATAATATAGCGTTTTTAATCACTCGGCGCCCTTCTGGGAGAATGGCGCACTTTTGACAGCACCGCGCCATTCTCATGGTCTAACGGCGCCCTCCTGACCGTCTCGCGTCCTTAGGTCTCTGTTCACCGTGCATCCCTCGACTGTTCGGCGCCCTTCTGGCCTCTCAGCGCCCCTGAACCACATTTAGCGTTTTCAATCACTCGGCACCCTTTTACGAGAATGGCGCCCTTTTCATGATCTCAATGCGCCCTCGTAACCATCTGGCGTCCCCACGTCTCCACCAACGTAGCACTACTGACTGTGCGGCGCCCTTCTGGCCTCTTAGCGCCCCTGGACCACATAGCGTTTTCAATCACTCGGCGCCCTCCCAAGAGAATGGCGCCCTTTTCATCGTCTCACGGCGCCCTCGTAAGTCGTAACCGTCTGGTGCCTCCACATTTGGTGCCCCTCCTACTGGATGGCGCCCTTTACAGCTTTTTACGTCCTTCCGGTCAGTTTCCACTTTTAAGCGTGTATTTGCTTAGTCAGACACGTCACTTGAAGTGCCATTCGGTTAGCAATGTTATCAAATTCGGTGTTAATTTAGGCTCCCACATAAAGAATATCTATCGCGCCCCAAAACGGCCTGGCGCCGGGCGCCCCTACAGCTGGGCACCCACAATCATTTTAGGAAAATTACACCCCTGCCCGTATGTGTGGTTAACTTTAAGCTGATCCCCAAGTACCTATGTGTTTGTCTCTTCCTTATTCTCGTTTGATAAATTCCATTAATCCTACATGTAACAAATTACCAAGAAGCCATCGCATGGTACTAATCAGTGGCGAATCCCAGGGTGGAGGTCACATGGGTCATGACTTAGGGCCTGGGGTCACCACATGCCTGCCAGGAGCACCACAGGCCTGACAGCCGACAGGGGCACCACAGGCCCGCCAGGGGTACCATAGGCCTAGCAGGGGCACCACGGGCCTGTCAGTGGCACCACAGGCCTGTCAGGAGCACCATCGGCCTAGCAAAAGCACTACAGGTCTTCCAGGGGCACCACAGACCTGCCAGGGGCACCAGAGGCCTGCCAGGGGCACTATCGGATTCGCAGGGGAACCACCGGCCTCGCAAGGGCACCATGGGCCTGTCAAGGGCACCACAAGCCTGTCGTTGGCAATTTAGGATTGTCAGAGGCACCACAAACCTGTCAAGGGTACCTGCGTTCTAACAGGGGCACCACAAACCTGCCAAGACCCAGGGACACCACAGGCTTAGCAAGGACACCACAGGCCTGTCAGGGCCCATGGGCACCTAAGTCATGTCAGGGCCCACCGTAGGCTTGTCAGGGGGCAGGGTAGGTAGGTACCACAGTCTTTCCAGGGGCATCAGCGGCCTAGCAGGTGCAGGGGCACCAGTCATCACATGACTAACCAAAAATAAAGAAAATAAAAAAAAACTGAAAATAGGGCACCACCAAAATTAAGTGGCCGAAATCCGTTGAGGTTTTAATTTTGGGCATAGGTAGGGGCACCACTTCGATTCATGGCCCTCCCCTTGGAGTTTTCCCCGAATCTGCCCCTAGTACTAATACATCAAATTTAAGGGGGCACCTTGCTATTGGTGCCCCCCTTGCAGAATTCAAGGGGGCACGGTGCCCCGGTGCCCCCCCCCCGTTCCGCCGCCTATGATGTTGATAGGTATCTGGAGGGAGTAATAGGTTGCCAACATTTAAGTCACCTGTCAATAATACATTTGGGGAGTAGAGATGTGCACGAGTCAAACTGTCGGTTAGTCTGTCTATAAACTCTTCTTGTCGATGTGCTGGAATATTGGGTGGGAGATAGATTAAGCACAGTAGAAATGTAGAGTCTTTTGTTTTTATTTTTATCCAAATCCATTCTTCACCAGGCAATTCGAGTGAGGAAATTCTGGAAAATGTGAGTGAGCTGTGAATGCATACTGCCGTGCCTCCTCCGTGTCTGTCTCTGTGTCTTGTAATGGGTGGATGAAAATTGTCAATAGTATAAAGGTTCGGGTTAATGGAGTCGTCCAATTTAGTTTCAGTGAGAGCGAGAATTGTGATTTTATTAACGTCGACAAAATTTGTTAGCTCTTGGACTTTGCCAGTGGCCGTTATACTGTTTATATTTACATGGACTATCGTAATACCTATTATTCGATAATTTCTTGTTATTTATTGGCCCAGGGTTCGATTCAGTTCCTCCGATAATCAAAAGAATACGCATGTCTGGAGGATATTTAAATAGTTTCAATGATGCATGGTTTGAGAGACATAAATGAGGCCACCAGAGGCCGGTGTGGGGCCCTCAGCCGCCGGTTGGGACCCTGAGGCCGGTTTAGGGGCCCTTAAAGGCCAGTAGAGGGCCCTCAGTGGTCAAGGTGGGCGCTTGACCGCCACTGAAGGGCCCTCAGAGGTCAGTGTAGGACCCTCAAAGACCGGTATGGGAGCTGTTAATAGCTGGCGTGGGTTTCTCGAGCCTCGCGACAATCGAATACGGGCCAGGGCCCCATACGCCTATGGGGGCCCATCGGTTGTTTGGGGGCAAAGAATATGATGGCCCCCCTGATTTGCCTTTGGGGGGCATGGCCCTGATGCCCGCCCCCCCCCTGCGACCGCCACTGGATAGGCGAGACGTTTAAAAGATTTTTCTACCTACGAGCGGTTTAATAATTTTATCCCGTGCCGCCAACGTATTTCATGTAATGTCTACTAGACGTTTAACAGTTTGTTAATCGTCAAAGTAGACGTTTAACAACTGTTAAACGTCTAAAACCTGTTAAACAAATCAATTACTCAACATCTGATAATTTTCTCTCTTAGCACGTGAAGCAATTGTAAACACTGACTACGGTGCGGGATAAATGACAGATACATATAAGATATACCGCTACAAACAAGCATTGTAAAATTCACAAAACGCACCGGCATGGTTTCTAATAAGGCTGAAACAGACTTTCTCCGCAGTCAGGAAATCGCATGCGAGAGCCTATTCAAATATATTAAATCACGCTCGCATCAATCGTACGCACTTCCCGCATGCGTTTGATGCGGGAAGGATTGTAATGTATTTGAATAGGCTCTCGCATGCGATTTCCTGACTGCGGAAAGTCTGTTTCAGCCTTGATCATTTTATTTGCTTAAATGCCACAAATCACAATCCACTGAAACGACTAGGTATATTGTGATGCATTGTTGCTGATTGGGGTAAATAGATAACAAAGACATTGAAAACAGTGATTTTTTGCAATGGGTGAATTTATTGAGCTAGGTAGCTTTGCTTGCAAATGCTGAAGTATTGTTTTTTTTTTAACGGTTCTCCATCCAATCATATTCTCCGAAAACACGTTACGTTACTGACGTTAATACCTTTCTGCTTACCTAAACAATAGAGTAGTACCGCCGAAACTGGAATATCATATGCATTATCTATACAAACGGAACTCTATAACTCATACTCATAACCAGGTGACAACCAAAGCTGGGGCGTTTTACCATACCCGTAATGTAAAACGCCCCGTTTTCAAAGGTCTTGCAAAAGCTCATTCATGCTGGAATGTAGCATTCCAGTGCTTTACATATTATTTTGTTCAATAGTCTAAAGATGACGCCTATAAGCATATGGTCCAATAACTAGCCTAGCGGTGACACACTTTCTTAAGGGGGCGTTTTGCACGGTTCACCTCTACGTAAGAAATTGCTAAGATCCACAATCATAAAACATGGCTCACAGCAGGGCTGAAGCATGAAATACGCAAGCATGACCGGTTATTCAGGCTTGCTCAGCGCCACGACTCAGAAAGCCATGCAGTTCAGTTCGCCGCCGATGACGACAGCATGGTCGGGTGGTTCGTTCCGCGACAGGGTCCGGCTGTTTTGTGCGGCTCGGCGGGGCGGGAGGGGGGAGGCAGGCGACGCGTCTGACAGGCGACACTTCAGCGTCCCGGGAATCGGCACCGTGTGGCGCGGCGGACCGTCCCTCCGACCCTTCCCATTGTTACCTGACTGTGGGCGCCGGCCGCCGGTCCTCCGGAAGGGTCACTTTGGTATGCGAAATCTTCACCGCACTTGCCCACTGTCAGAGAGTGCACTGAGGTACAGTAGTTTCTAACAGCTCGTTCGATTGGTCTGCCTGCTCAGCCAATCATATTCTGGCATCCTTGAACCTTGGGACCCAACGTCGCTATGGTACTTCCGTATAGCCTGAGGCACCTGGGTACTTATGAATCTTGGGTCCCGTTGGATCTTGGGTCCGACTGTACTTGGGTACATTTGATACACACCCGGCGGTGGTGTAATTTCGGGACGACGGTGAAAACAGGGCGCCTGGGGCGATTTGATCAAGGTTCGTGAAATTTACACGTGACGTTTGGTATATAGAAGGCCCTTGGAGCGGGAGAAGTTCCAAATGTCACGTGACTAATATGCCTTCCGGCGCCCTGTTTTCACCGGCGTCCTAATTTCGTTGTACGAAAAAATTATCGTCCATTTCAGTGTTTTCATGATGGTTTCCACGTTATTCAGCATGGAGAAGTAGATTCTGATCATAGAAAATGTGTGATTTGATAGGGAAAGGACTCTCTGAACATTTGCCATGGGCCTGTTCCAGCGCTTCCGGAAACCTCCAGAAAGCTCCAGAGGGCATTCCAGCGCCTCCAGAAAGATTCAGAAACTTCCAGTAGCCTCCAGAGTTGGGAGATCCACATTTCCCTGGAGGCTCTGGTCTACGATCATGGTGCGCATGTTAGTTGTTACAAGCACAAATGTAAACATTAATTTTACAACTTGAATGTCAAGAAAATTCATTGGTATTGTTATTATCATTTGTTAAATCTTCCTTACTAAAATTAACAACAAATTATTTGTTAAAAAAAGAAGAAATCTCCAGATTGCATTCCAGCACCTCCAGTTAAACCTCTGGTAGAGTCCAGTCAAGGAATTTCTACTGAAGATGTTGGAACAGGCCTATAGTTCACTCGTGGAATAGGCCAATTGGTGCACAGTTGGTGTGAATTAGGTAATATACCTACTCAATATAGAAGCCACTGGAAAGTTCGAAAAAGCTCTAGAAGTCTCCAGAGGGTGTTCCAGCTCCTCCAGAAAGCTCCAGAAAGGTCTCTCCAAAGCTTCAAAACCTCCAGTAGCATCCAGAGAGTTGCAAGGTCCACATTTCGGCATTAGTAGAGCAGACGTCACACGAAGGTTTTCCAACCAAGGAGAGGCGCTGTAGGTTTGTAGGTTGTAGGTCTAGGGTAGGTTTGTAGGTTGTAGGTTGTAGGTTTTTAGGCTGTAGGTTTGTAGGTTGTAGGTTAGGTTAGGTTTGTTTAGGTTTTGTTAGAAAGAAGTACCTCCAGGCATAGCGCCTCTCCTTGGTAGGAAAATCTTCGTGTGACGTCTGCTCTACTAATACCCACATTTCTCGGTAAATATTTACTTTAGGACCGGCACACTTTTTCAAAGGGAAATTTTCGACAATCTTCCATTATTTGACATCCTAAATCAAGAAATGATACTTACATGTTACCAAAACTGCAAAAAGTCACACAAAAACTTGATAAAATCCAGCCATCTCACCCCGCGTTACGTAACGTACACCGACGAAATTATACGAATGCGGCGATTACGATATAGGGCCTGTTCCAGCGCCTCCAGAAACCTCCAGAAAGCTCCAGAAAGCTCTAGAATCCTCCAGAGAGCGTTCCAGCGCCTCCAGAAAGCTCCAGAAAGCTCTCGCCAAAGCTCCAGAAACCTCCAGTAGCCTCCAGAGAGTTGGGAGGTCCCAATTTCTCTGGAGGCTCTGGTCTACAATTATGGCGCACATGTGACAATCACGGATGTAAACAAAGGACTTTTGACTGATTATTTTACAACTTGAATGTTAAGAAAATTACATTGCTATAATTTTGTTAATCTTTCTTAATAAAATTAAAAACAAATTTTGCGTTTCAAGAGAGAACATTTGTCATTCGTTTGGTAACCGCAGGTTGTTTGAAAAGACAAACACTATTCGTTAGAATTGTGTTTTTCTATTGAAAAACAACCGGAGCGGTCCTTCTCCGGGCTATGTTTTGCAAGTCTGGCCGCGAATTGGGGCAACTTGGGTCAGGCCTAGACGAATCGCTCAATCTTCGTAAAAAGTTCAGGGTATGGGCTCCCGGGGGCGATCTACCTGATGGCACCGGTCGCTACTCGCTTAAAACCTCGTGGCACGTGGCACGTGCGATTCCATTTTCCCCATGTTAAGTCAACGGGGTTTTGGACACTTTTTGCGCGATCGCCAATGGCGGGAAAACGAGCCAAGGAAGAGGTGGTTTTCTTCCCAGCATTTTATGGCAAACACGTTTGGGTACATGCTGGTGTGCGCCGTATACCCCTCAGAACTTCGTAACGTGTCTTTGCACGAGGTCAAAGTTGAATTTTTTTCGCTCCCCATGTTAAGTCAATGGGCGTTTTTGCAGAGACTTTTTCATTCGCTCATTGTACAAAATTATATGATACGATTTTGTTTAAACTTTTAGGACTTGTTGAGAAAAGACCATAGAATATGTTGTTATGCTTCGTTAAGCTGTCAGAATTCGTTTGTTCTTTTTGAGCTCGTTTAAAGAAGAATTTTTTTAACATGCAAAGTCAATGGGAGCGTCTTTGCTGCTTTATAACTTTTTACGTTATAGATATATTTAAGTGAAAAGTTGATAGGTTATACAACTTTTGATGCTCTTTCCAATGATATATACAACTTTATTGCACGTGGTGCCGTTGTTGAGAAATATAGTAAAAAAGCACGACATTACCGAGATTTGAGCTCAGACCTATATCGTTACGGTGTCAGGCGGACACCAGGACAGGTGGCGCCGCCGCCGCCCGCATAGCGGCGGGAATGTGAACTAACCTGTTTACCACCTATGGTATGGTACCATCGGGGGACCGGCCGCCGTCGGCACCATTTCGGGACTTTGCATCGCAATAAAAGGCTTATTTACAATTGAAAATGGACTAGCGAGAGTCGTTATGGAATCAGAATTTGATGCTCTACAAAACTAGGCTATTTTCATTGTGATGGCACCACAGACTACACCGCTAACCCCAATAAAGCAGATTTATGTCGCGTCATCGATGATTACATATAATGTTTCTTTGATATATATGTAGTCGGGTCTTTCAGCTGCGTCCCTCCCCTCCCTCGCCGCGCCGGCGGGTCGGCCATCCGCGGCTTGCCGCCCGCCGGCTGCTGGCCGGTCAGCTGGCCGGTCAGCTGGTCGCCCGCGGCTGTCGGTGCAGTGCGGGATGCCTACTTGCGGGGGGCCGTCGTGGCGGCGCGGCCCGGGTGGACTGGGCGAGCAGTGAGTTGGGGAGCGCTGCGCTGTCGGTGCTCTAGTTTTTATTGCGTTCGCATGATACGGCTTGAGCCAATACAGAGTGAACTGATTGAGCTGAGCAAGTCTTTATATACATTGAAAAGTAAAGCACTTTTTACTGCATCTACGGTGAGATGCTAGATAAAATTTATGGTCTACCTAATGGTACCCATTACTTAACAATTAAGTGAATCATTTCGTCGCTAAACTCTCGTAAATTCGTATGTCCGCCTCACTATGGAGTTTGGACCGTAACGTATGGCTTTTGCTCAGACAGTATACGAACAGGTGACGGGGATACCTCCCATAGAAGGATGCGACACGATTTTACTGCTAAATAGCGGCCGGCCGCCGTGGGGACGTTTTTGTACGACTTATACCTCGGCAACCACTGGGCTGATACACGTGCGGTTTTTTGTGTGGGGTAGCTTTTTCCCTTCTTTCACATAGTGTGCTACTCTCGATGCATATGGGTGACCCCTAACGCACGTTCCACGTACAAAGCCAAGAGGTGCCTGTTTTGTAATAAGTGCAATAGCTCGCGGTAATTACTGAACCGATTGCGCTAAAACTTGGCATGGAGGTAGACACTTTCCAGGCGATGCATTTCCATGTGTCTTGGTAGGGGTGCAACTGCACGTGCGCACGTGCAGGGTGACGCTTCCAGATCTCGAGAACGGCTGGACCGGTTGTGTTCAAATTTGGCATAACGCTTGATACCGATCAGTAGGTTGCAGTCATTTAGTATGTATTTCCATGTGCCACGATTGGGATGCAACTGCACGTGCGCACGTGCAGGATGACGCTTCCAGATCTCGAGAACGGCCGGGCCAATTGTGCTCAGATTTGGCACACCGCTAGAGATCGCGTAGTAGGGTGTCTTGCACAGGTCTGCTGGGCCCCAGGTTGCACGTGCGCACGTGCAGGGTGACGCTTCCAGATCTCAGGAACGGCTGGGCCGATTGCATTCAAATTCGGCACACCTTTAGAGACCGGTTAGTAGGGTGCTGTGCACAAGTCAGTTAGTATGTATACTCATGTGTCTCGGTTGGGGTGCAACTGCACGTGCGCACGTGTAGGGGTCGCTTCCAGATCTTGAAAACGGCTGGGCCGATTGAGCTTAAATTCGGTACACCGCTAGAGACCGGCAACTAGGGTGCCGTCCACAAGTCATTTGGGACCCAGCTTGCACGTGCGCACGTGCAGGGTGAGGCTTTCAGATCTCAGAAACGGCTGGGCTGATTGCATTCAAATTCGGCACACCTTTAGCGGCGTTACAGAGGTGCTTGCTCAAACAACCTGCGGTCCCGCGATGCGGAGCCCAGCATCGCAGATGCTGGTAACCGCAGGTTGTTTGAAAAGACAAACACTATTCGTTAGAATTGTGTTTTTCTATTGAAAAACAACCGGAGCGGTCCTTCTCCGGGCTATGTTTTGCAAGTCTGGCAGCGAATCGAGACATCTTGATTGGGGCCTAGAGTTTTGCGTTTAGGATCGTAAAAATTTCAGGGTATAGACTTTTGCAGGTGATCTACCTGATGGTACCGGTCGCTACTCGCAACAAAAATCATTGCGCGTGCCACGTGCAATTGCATTTTCCCCATGTTAAGTCAACGGGGTTTCGGACACTTTTTGCGCGATCGCCAATAGCGGGAAAACGAGCCAAGGAAGAGGTGATTTTCTTCCACGCATTTTATGGCAAACACGTTCTGGTACACGCCAGTGTGCGCCGTATACCCGTCAGAATTCGTTAACTTGAGTTGCACGAGTTTGAAGTTGAACTTTTTTCGCTCCCCATGTTAAGTCAATGGGCGTTTTTGCAGAGACATTTTCATTCGCTCATTGTACAAAATTATATGATACGATTTTGCTTTAACTTTCAGGACTTGTTGAGAAAAGACCATAGAACATGTTGTTATGCTTCGTTAAGCTGTCAGAATTCGTTTGCTCTTTTGAAGCTCGTTTAAAAATGAAAAATTTTAACATGGAAAGTCAATGGGAGCGTCTTTGCTGCTTAATAACTTTTTACGTTTAAGATATGTTTAAGTCAAAAGTTGATATTTTATACAACTTTTGATGCTCTTTCCAATGATATATACAACGTTATTGCACGTGCTGCCGTTTTTGAGAAATATAGTAAAAAAGCACGACATTACCGAGATTTGAGCTCAGACCTATATCGTTACGCTGTCAGGCGGACACGAGGACAGGTGGCGCCGCCGCCGCCCGCATAGCGGCGGGAATGTGAACTAACCTGTTTACCATCTATGGTATGGTACCATCGGGGGACCGGCCGCCGTCGGCACCATTTCGGGACTTTGCATCGCAATAAAAGGCTTATTTACAATTGAAAATGGACTAGCGAGAGTCGTTATGGAAT